GGCTTAAAACAACACAATTGTATTTTACAATTCTATTCTTCTTTCAGAAGTCTGCAATCAAGGTGTCAACGAAAGCCCTAGGGGAGAATCTGTTTCCTTGCCAGTTCCAGTATGTAGTGGCCACTTGCACTGCTTGGTTCAGGGGCCCTTCCTCTATGGTCAAAGCCAGCAGTGTAACATCTTCTCTCCTTCCCGAGCGCTGCTTTGGTCCTTACATCTGGATCTATCTCACTCTCCTGCCTCCCTCTTATTAGGACCCTCGTGATAAAATCTGGCCACCTGGATCAGATCCAGAATAACCTCTCTATTTCAAGATCCTTACTTTGATCACATCTGCAAAGTCCCATTGCCTGGCAAAGTGGCAGCCTGTCACAACACTGCAGTTCTCCAGGGCAGAGGGATGACCGTGGTGTTCATGTGCAGGAGATTGGAATGTTCCCGCTGGTGGGATCCTGGCATTGAAGATGGCACAGCAGGGCCGGAATGCCTTATTTGATTTCGGTCTGAGTCAGGTGGGATGGGGTATTGGGAAGTAGTCTTTAGTTCCTCTCTGAAGCCAGAAAGATTGTGTTATATCTCTGGAAAGCCCAGTCTACTGACTGGGACAAAACCAGGCGGAGAAGGCAGTCATCTGAAAGAGACAGTGTGTGGTCGGGGACAGTCATTCTCTCATTCATTCTACATGTTTCCTGAGCCCCTGTGTGCTCTGCCATGCACAGTGCAGGAGCTGAGGGGACCTAGATGAATAAGAAACCACCCTGTAGGAATTCTTCGTCTGCTTGGGGAAAAGTGACGTGGAAACAAAGCAACGATGGTTCTGTGGTTGATGAAGGAAGGGAGTGATCAAATGTGTAACAGGTACATTAGCATGTGGGGGGTGGGGGCATTGGGTACAGATTCCGAGGCGAAAACCTTGACAGCAGGTCTGAGGGGGGCTTGAACAGTTCTTGGAATGGCACTTGCAGAAGCAAGGAGAAAGGAAGCCCCGTGTTGTATTTAAGGAGCCGGATGAAATGCTGTCTGGGCGACCCTAAAGTGGGAAGCAGTGCCCCGCAGAGGGCCAGAGGCGGGATCTGTTTGCCTCGCCTCCAGTGTAATGATGAATTCCAGGCGGGCTGTATGCTGCCTTCTCAACTCGTTAAACCCTTCAACAGCAATTATTGCTCACTCTGTGGACCTCCACTAAATGCTTATTGATGAGAAGTCTTTCCCAATAGCAAAAGTCCCCCTCGATTGCCTCGCCTCGCTAGGTATTATTAGATGATAGGGCAGATGAGTCACTTTTATGGGATCCTTCAGGCCTTGTGTCTGATGAGACTTGCACTCAACTTGGAGTCTGGTTTATTCTCCTGGTGGGCCCCTATCATTGTATTTTTCTAGGTTTGGGCTTGGGAGGGTGTGTAGTTGAAGCACGTTAGAGTATACAGATGGTGCAGGTGCGCTGGCCTCGTTCTGGAGCTTGGGACTGTGTACTCACTGCCGCCTCCTGCCTGAGGTGCTGCCCAGACAGGATAAGTCACTGTTAGAGCAGTGTGGCTCAGTGTGCCCATGGCAAGGAAAGAAAGGGAGGAACTTATTAAATGTCATTTATTCTTCTTCCCAACATCACACTTCACTGCCTTTGATGCCACCATTCAAACAAATGTTCTAATTTACGGTTTCTGGAAACTTTTGGAAAAATGGATCAAACCCCAGGTTACCTGAAATGCTGCAGTTACATGTTTTAATGGCCCTAAAAAGTATATTTTGTCAAAATGAAATAGAATTTTGAAAGGCTTCATAATAGTTGTGAAAAACAGCCAGCCTCTTCAGATAACACTTATCACAAGGCTGCTCTTATGAATAGCTCAGCACACCCTGCAAATATCTCATTAAATCATCCAACCTCTCTGGGAAGAAGCTAGCAGCAGCAGCTTGCAGACTGCTTTTTTTCTCCTACAGTAGGGGGTGTTCCTGCTGCCTCAAAAGAAGTTTGAAGAAACCACAGACCACCTACGTTGAGAGTTTTTTATCTTCCCACTTTAACTTACAATACATCCCGAACAACTCCCTACATTAGGAGGTGCACTGGGCCTTCCCACCTGCAGGAGGCAGGCTTTCTCTCCAGCTGGCCAGAGACCTCAGTGTTCACTGAGCCCTACTCTGGGCCTGGCTCAGTGCCTGGAGCTGACCGAGATTCAGAGGTGAAGAAAACACTGCTCCTGCTCTTCAGGAGCTCACTCGCTGGTGTGCAGGAAAGACACAAGAGCAGGTTTTTGCAATAGATGTGGTATGTGATTTGCTAAAGGGAGGTCAGAGATTAGCTAACCGAAGCTAAGTGTCAGAAAAGCCATCTCAGCAGCCTTCTACACTGTCAGCTTCCTCCCTGCCAGTTGTGTCTCCAACTCTTTGGCAGGCACTGTGGAACCCTGTTCCCAACTCCCTTTACCTCATGGATTCCTACTGGTGAGGCTGCAAAGCTAAATTCTTGCTTTTCCAGCCTCCCTTATAGCTAGAGTGGCCCCATGACCTAGTCCTGGCCAATGAGACAGAAGCAAGATCTACAGTGGGGGGAAAGGGGTGTTCTGTAAAACCTCCTGTGTTCTTGAGTAAGAGGGACAACCAGTCTGCTATAGCACCTTGGTTCTTCTGCATGCCTTGATTGTATTCATGATGGTCATAGCTAGAGCAGCAATCATGTGATCATGAGGGAAAAGCTGAGGTCATTGGTTAGGTAGTGATCCAATGCCAGCAGCTGCCAACATCTAGACTTTTCATCATGTGAAAAATAAATAACCTCTGTTTGTTTAAGCCACTGAGGTTAGGCTTCTAGGACTTGCAGCCAAATACATCCCTAACTGATAATATGCACCTAGCAAGCAATCCAGAAACAGTGAGTCAAGTGGTAAATAATGTGATCGCCTGAGTTGGGCCTTAACACATTGGGGCGTGCTGAAGGAATTTCAGTTGGAGGAAACTGAAACAGCATGTACAAGAGCTTGAGGCAGGAAGCCATGAAGAGCCCACAAAGGAAACATTAACAAGTAGTTCATTGTTACTAGAATAAATAAAAGAAAGAAGCAGGCAGTGGTTACATACGAGCCAGGAAAAGCAGACGAGAGGGGTGAGATTAAAACAGTTTCCTTAGATGCAAACTAGGTCCCAGGTTCAAGTGATGTGACTCTCCATGTTACCCCTGGAACTTCAGAGTTATAGCCAAGGCCACCATAGCAAGAGGAGAGAAAGGAAGTGAATGCATTCCTCCTGTTGGCCACTGTGCTAGTTACCTACTGCTACATAACAAATTACCCCCAAACTTAGCAGGTTAAAACAACACACATTTATGATCTCATTGTTTCTGTAGGTCAGAAATATAGACGTGGCTTAACTCTGTCTTCTAATTCAGAGTCTCTTACAAGACACAGGGCTGCAGTCTCATCCAAAGACTCAGCTGGGGAAGGATCCACTTCCACGTTCACTCACATGGTTATTGGCAGGATTCGGTTCCTTGCCCCGTGGGTCTCTCCATGAGGCAGCTCACAGATGACTTTATCAGAAGGATCAAGCGAGAAAGCAGAAGGAAGCCTGTATCTTTTTGTAACTTCTCTCTGAAGTGGAATTCCACTCCTTTGCTGTATTCCATTCATTAGAAGCAAGTTACAAGTCCAGCCCACCCTTAGGGTGGGATGATAGGTGAATACTGGCAGGTGGGGATCACTGGGAGCCATTTGGGAAGCTGCCAGCCGCAAGCACACTGCCACCCCCTCTCTCCTTCGCCTCTCCTTTGTCACGTAGCAGCAGCAGCTTTTTTACCGTTGTCATTACCATCACCACAGCCACAGTGATTATTTATTAAACACTTCTTTAGACACTTTCCATATATAGCTCATTTATCTTCACAACAGCCATATATGAATAAATAATGTTATCTCCATTTGAATATTAGGAAACTGAAGCTCAGAGAGGGTCTATGACTTGCCTTACATCACACAGCCAGTCCGAGGTAGAACCTGGAGCCTAACCAAGGCCTGGCTGCAGTGGAGCTCCCCACCCCCGCCCCAGGGGGCAGCACCTCCAAGGCAGGAGGGCCTGCCTCCAACCTGCCCTGGAACGCAGGCTGTTTTCTGCTTTCCTGTGAGCTCACCGGGGCTAAAAGTCACAGAGCACAGAGACAGGAGGGTGGGCTAGGCCCCCTCAGAATGTCTGGGCCCCAGATAAAGAATAATGGGTAAAATCAGAAAAGATTTGTAAATTAGATAATAACCCTGTACCAATAATAATTTCCTGATTTTAATCATTGCTCTGCCATTATATAAAAAACGTATTTGTTCTTAGAAAACATATACTGAAGTGTTTAGAGGTAAAGAGGTGTTGTGTCTATGACTTTAAACATTTCAGAAAAAAATTATTGTAGGTAGATACAGGTGCATATGTCTGCATGTGTGTGGAGAGAGAGAGAATGAATGATAAGTGTGGTAAGATGTTAACATTTGGGGAATCTGGGTAAAGGGTACATAGGAATTCTTTGCGTAAGTTTTGCAAATTTTCCTTGTTAAGTCATAAATTACTTTAAAATAGGTCTTTTTAAAGTACTAGTCTACTCTGGGACATGAGTTCTACTTGGACTATCAAAGATGATGTTATTTGGGGTCTTACATGCCTCCTTTTGACCCCAAGGAGACCCATCAGAGACCAGGGAGGGTATGGAGCTCATGGGCAGAACATGGTCTCTGAGGTCGGGCTGCCGAGGTTTCAGTGCTGGCCCTGCAGCTTCTAAGGTCCCTGAGACGTAATGGTTGTTCAGGGTTGTTGAAAGGATTCGGTGAGACACGGGATATACTTTGGTGTAGTGCCCAGTGCAGTTCCTGGCCCACGGTGAGCCCTCCATAAATGTCATTATTGTTATTATTGCCTCAGTCCTCTAACAGGTGAGAAGTAATGTCCTATGTGTGGTTAAGAGACACTGATCTGGACAGTTATCTTGGTGCCAACTCCCTGACATGAGTTTTTGTCCCCATAAGGCAGGGTGGCCACTGCACCAGCTGTGAACGTGCCTGACAAGATGAAGAGCCGAATCCCTGTGGTGCTCCTGGCCTGTGGTTCCTTCAACCCCATCACCAACATGCACCTGCGCCTGTTCGAGGTGGCCAGGGACCACCTCCACCAAACAGGTCAGTCAGGGGCCACGCCCAGGGGAAGAACTGGTGGGTTGGGCCTCGTGGGGCTTTGCTGGCTCCTGTCATCTCAACCAGTATTAAAACTGCTCAGTTTATTCATTCACAGCATAACTGGTAGCATACATTTCTTCCATCATATTCTGAGGGCTGATGCCCCTTAGCCGTGTGACAAGTACAAGTCGTATCCCTGGCCGTAGTGTTGAATCCTTCTCGGGGTTTCCCCACGCCCCTGCCCCCCTCATGCTGCCCGTGAAGGCTAGACACTGAGCACTTCGGAGAACCTGTGACTCTGCTAGGGCATCCTTCCCGGCGCCCCCAGAAAGCATTTACTTACACAGATGAAGAGGTAGCACCCTCTGCTGCTCTTCAGTGGGTGAGCAAACATTCTACAGCTGACCCTTGAACACTGTGGGGGTTAGGGTCACTGACCTCCTGCAGAGTCAAAAATCCGCATTAAACTTTGAACTCCCCCAAAACCTAGGTGTATGGAATGCTCATACACTACTGGTAGAAGTGTGAATGGTGCCATGGCTGAGGAACACAGCTTGGCCATTTCTTACACGTTAATGTTTACCTACCATGTGATTCAGCTGCTCTATACCGATTACCCAAGAGAAATGAAAGCATATGCTCGTGCAAAGACTTGTGCGCGAATGTTCAGAGCCGCTTAAATTATGATCACCCCAAACTGGAAACAATCCAAGCATCTGTCAACATGGGACTAGATAAACAGATGATGTTGTAGATATACAATGGAATAGTACTCAGCAATAAAAATAATTAACAAAAAACACAAGTGAGTCTCAATTATGCTGCATAGAAGAAGCCAGATTGAAAAAGTATATATACTATATGTGTTTCATTTATATAACATTCTAGAAATCTCACTTGAAACCTACATAATTTTATTAACCAATATCTCACCCCAATAAATTAAAAAAAGATAGATAGATAGATAGATAGATTCTAGAAATTGCAAAGTAATCTACAGTGACAGCAAATAGATTAGTAGTTGAGGGGTCAGGGAGCAGCATGAGGGAGCAGGAGGGAAGGATTACGAAGTGGCCCAAGGGAAGTCTGGGGGATCATGGAGGTGTTCATTATCTTGATTGTGGTGTTGGTTTCATGGGTGTATGCATATGTCAAAACTTAACCAAATTATACCTTTTAAATATGTATGGTTTATTGTATGCCAGTTATAACTCCATACTAAATTAAAAAAAGAAAAGACTCCACAGGGTTGCTTCAGTCCTATAAAAGGGGTAAATTCTGTGGGACAAATGACCCAATTTCTTTAAGAAATAAAGCAAGCAAGAAAGAGGAATTGGAAACTGTATCATTCAACAGAGATATAAGAGACATAAACCAAATACCATGCAGGGACCTTATTTGAATCCTGATTCAATTCAACCATAAAATGATATTCATGAGAGGGGGAAATTCAAACACTGACTAGATACTCTATGGTATTAAAGAATTATTGTTTAACTTTTAAGGTCAATAATTGCTGTTGTGTTAAAGTAAAAAGTGTCTTCCTCTCTTAGGAAAAAAGTATACACCCTTGATCCAGCAATTCCACTTCACAAAATTTATCCTAAAGCAAGTATTTGGGGAAAAAGAATATTTCTGCTTTGGGGGAAAGAAGGAATATACTCCCTATATATTTTTAAACAGTGTGGAATAATGTTCTTTCAGGGTGTATAGCTTCTACTTGACTTGCTATAAATATCTGCTTGATTCTAAGCCACTGAGAGGCTTTTTCTGCCAACTTTGACTCATCAGAAATGGCTTTATGGGCAATGTCTTTGCTGTGAGGTTTATTAGGGCAGGGCCTGTACTCTGCTTTCTAGAATGTGGGGCTTCACAGACAACTACAGGTACACACTGTGTTGGGGACTTCAGATGTTTGATGTACTTGCAGACTGCTTCATCCACATGATAGGACTCTGGCGTGACCCTAAGAGACATCAGAGAGTATTCCTCGTCCCCAAAGGTCATAATAACCACAGAATGCATGGACATACATTATATTATATACGATTTCTATCGCTGGGGTATTAATAGGTAAAGGGGCCTTGGTCACAAAAGACCTCCAGTACCTTCTTTGCCTATATTCTCAGTCATTCCTCTATGGAAAGCGTTTGGTCATTTTTCAAAGTCCAGAATACATTCTCCTGCCCGTGCCTTTGAATGTTATATGTTGGGTTGACACCTTTCAACATTGCACAGATATTTACTGCATCTTCCCTAGGCCAGGCACTGTTGCTGGAAATAGAGTTGATTAAATTGTACCCCCTGCCCTAAAGGAGTGTACAGTATTATGTGACTAGAGATCCACAGTAGCCGGTGATTGTGGCACTAGGTGCAGAGGAATAATGTCTCCCACCTGGCAGTAGGGGAAACTGGGAGGGTGATGCCCACGGCATGGAGAATGTGAAAGACGTAAGCAGGCACCATTTAGGGGTCACGGGAAGGGAAAGCAGCGTGGGCACGGCACGGAGGTGGAAGAGAGCCACATTCCAGCGCGTGGGAGAGAGATGAGGCTGATAGGTGGGGAGAACCAGGCCAGGGAAAAGGGAGCTTTTCCCACCATGAGGGGTATGTGGTATGAATTTCCCTTCTCTGCACAGTCGGGCGTCACCTCTCCTCTCCACACAGCCCCGGTCGCTGACTGCAGCCTTGACAGCCAGCTGATCTGTGCACCGAGCCATAGCCCAGCCTGCCCTCTCTCCAGGGACAAATAGTTTAAACAGAGCCATTTCTCTCCATCAGAATCAGCTCACGGGTAAGGCTGGATGAAAATCTGGCCCCACAGAAAGCTAAATCTCCCTTCTGTTGGTGTATTTTCACTAAAAAAAGAAAAACCTCATAATTTTTGTTTGCTATTGCACGCATATAAACTGGATTAAATAAGCTAAAGCAATTTGTTTAGTATCTTTAAACAGAAATTAATGGTGTTTTCCTGGTTTGCTGCAGCAGCTCTAATTTTGAACTCCTTCCCCTTTCATAAGCATCCTTTCTTCAAGTTGCAGTTGTCCTTCCCTCCTTCCTTCCTTTGTTTATTTCTTATCTTTTCTCCTGAAACAATAATGAAAGCTTAAAACTGACAGAAGCCCTATAATATATCAAAACTTTTAACTACCTATAGTCCTGTGAAAACTTGGATCTGTAGCTTTTCATTAATACACTGACAAAGTCATACCTGCTCAAAGGATAAAATGTTGAACCAGCAATTTTTTTTTAACCGTCCTTTGCTGAGAGACTGTTTGGGAATAAGATATGGGCCAGTAGGAATGTGTGGGGCCTGTGGGTTTTCTGTGTTTTACGGTGCGTCCTGTCGGGCTCCCCTGCCTTGCACTGCGCACTGTGGGGGGCACTCACGGAGAGGAAGGATTCTCAAAGGCTTCACGGGTGAACATATGTAGTGGTTGTGGGTGGTTTTGAAAAGTTCATTGGGGATTTTTATTCTTGATTGTCTGATTTTAGACAGAAATGATTCAACCCAACATATAACTAGTCAAGAGCATCAGACACACCTAAAGCATTTCATTCAGGATACAAGCATGAATTTCTCTAACGATGTTGGATGTATTCCCAGTTGTTAGCCGTTGTTTTCCCAACATGTAGTCACAAACTTACTCATGGAGGTTGAATTCAGTTTGTAGTCTGTTTTCTGTTATTTCAACAGCTTTTTTCTATTCAATATAATTTGGCCATTGGCCTGTATTTTAACAACAGCCTACACGTATTTCATTTTTTAAATCAAACTTTCTGTCAGTTTAATATTTATTAATGACAGTGTAGCACCTGTTTGTTTTGTGTATCTAACAAACACATATCGTCCTTACTGTTTGCCAGGTAGTGTTTTAAATGTATTACAGGAACTCACTGAACCTTCATAACAACCCTATGAGGTGGGTACTATTACTCTGCCTATTTCTCAGATGGGGAGGCTGAGGCTCAGAGAGATTTAGAAGCTTGCCTGAGGTTACACAGCCAGTAAGCGGTAGAGACTCTGTGCCCCAGATTCTGTGCCCATAACCACCATCCCATGCTGCCTGCATTCATTCAGCAAATTACCTTTTGAGCTGGGAGCTTTGCTAGATGCAGACATAGTGTGGGAGCAAAAGCAGTCCCTGTGCTCCTGGGGGAGTGCCTTAGTCACCTTGGGCACTAAGGTGTAACAAAAATACTGTAGACTGGATGGCTTATAGACAACAGAAGTTTATTTCTCTTGTTCTGAGGCCTGGACGTCCAGAATCAGGGTGCCAGCATGGCCGCGTTCTGGTGAGAGCTCTCTTCTGGGTTGCAGGCTGCCGACTTCCCACCGTGTCCTCGCTGTGGTGTACAGGCTCCCTCATGACGGCTCTAAGGGCACTAATCCCATTCATGAGAGATTTGTCCTTAAGGCTCCATCTAAGCCTAATTACCGCCCAAAGGCCCTGCCTCCTAACACCATGACATCGAGGACGGAGTCTCTACATATGAATTTTGGGAACACAAATATTCAGTCTATAGCAGGAGACAGACAGTAATCAAATCCCACATAGAAAAAATTACTCAGGCAACATGTGCCACTAAGGGGAAGCTCCCTTTGCTGTCAGTGCGCATAGTGAGGCAATTTGACCAAAACAGAAAACCCAGGGAAGATGTTGCTGAAAATGTAAGGACTGAGCTGGAGAAGAATAATCAGGCACTTTTTGGATTAAAGTGACATTGTTGAAGGTCAGGGGATGCAGGGAAAGAACATTCTTGGCAGCAGCAGGCCTCTGAGGCCCCCTGGGTGGGCAAGGTTGGTGAGAGCAGAGTCCAGGTGGACCAGTGGAAAGTAGGGAAGTGGTCACAGCCAACTAGATCATGGAGTCTGAAAGGCCACGTAAGGAATGTGGACTTTAGGTGAAAGGGGCCCGGTGAAAGTCTTTAACCAAGTGGCCACCATGTAACTCCTACTAGGTGAGATCTTGACACACAAATCCTCGGAGAACCTCTGGAAA